AATCAGTTTTTTTTGGACACTCAAAGACGCTTCACATGTCATTATTCTTTCACTCCATACACGGTGGTGATAAACTACTACTGTAGCCACAGCTGCCCTGGGGCACACTGACAGAAGCGAGGCAACCAGTCTGTGCCATCGGCCCCTCGGACCCCCACCAGCCATTCACACACACACCAGACTTATTCTAGGCAATGGGGGTGAAGTGTCTTGCCGCAGCCACCCCTCTGTGGCACCTGCTGTTCCTTGAGGTTAAGTGTCTTGCCCAAGGACACAACGACAGCAGACAGTGGGAGTCGATGGTGAAAGTCTTGTGGTGGGCTCAAACCTTCGACCTTCAGGCTTAAAGGCCAATGCTCTACACACTGAGCCACTGTCGCCCCAAATGTAAAGTGGTGTTTGTAGAAAGCATGTGAAGCCTTCTGCCCAGACACATTTCTCTCGGTGATGGTAAAGGATAATTTTATCTTAATAAATGACCACTTCATAAAAATAAACTAAACCTTCATTGCTCTACAGATTACAACAAAGAAAGTACGGGAAAATATAAAAATCAGAAACATTTCTGTCAAATCAATCCCAGCACTATAAAAAGAAATATACAAAACATTCACTAAAAATGTCATACATTGCGTACAGGTTTGTTTTGACAATAACCATGTCTGAGGCGTTTGTGGAGAGGAACACATATGATTTGTGTGTGTTACGATTATTTATGATACTTTTGACTTATGAACATTATTTTAAACATGGACAATTGTGGGAAGAAAAAAAAATTCACAGCAAGTAAACTAGAGTGGACCAAACAAATCCACCCCCCTCAGCATTGACACACATGTGGAACGGAGCTTTGGGCCAAGAGCCAACTTTTGGTCCATCCTGTAAAGACGTTTTTGAGAGGTCTGCCAAAGCTATATGTTAGCATTGGCTAATTCTTCTTCTGGGTCCATCCCCATCGGCCCGGGGTGGTATTGCAAGCATGTCAGCGCACATCATTTTGGCCACTTTTGAGCTGGGACCCGCCCCCACTGCACAGAACCGGGAGGGCCAGAGTAATGACCAAATATGGGCGAGTGCTGATAATCTTTCGGTGGTCTTTACTGAGCACAAGCCACTGATTTGAATAGGGCGCCATGTTGGATCGCCGGAGCTTGGTCTGACCCTAGTGGCTGCAGTTACCTCGGTTGTATCCCCTCCGACCAATCAGCGAGCAGGGGAGGCAGGTGTCTGTGGCATCAAGAGTTTTAGCCGGATTTGCTGGTTGTAGTTTGGCAATGGCGGCGAATGCAATAGTAAAGGGAGCTCTTCAAACTGTTCTGGTTCGGCTCCAAATATCAAATTTCATTGCTGCAAAGATGTTGTGTCTCCCCACGGGCTCCGTCAGTGGCTATGGACATGGCTAAAGCTAGGTTTACTCACTCGGGCGCATCACATACGTCACTGTAAACTCAGATAAAGTTTATTTGTATAGCACAATTCATACACAAGGCAACTCAAAGTGCTGAACAAAAGATACAGTCACACTAGGCATTAAAACCATAGATAATCACAGTATAGTAAAAAGAAATCCCTCAGTTGTCTGAAGCTGAACAGAACGGAAATGAATGAAAAAAAACATAACAATTCAAGAGTGATTGCAAAATTCCATTTCCCAAACACAATCTTCGAAGCTCCCGCAATATCTCTTCTTCAAGTAATTGGAGGATCAATACAAGACGTTCAGAGAGTCTGTGCAGCGGGACCAGGGCAGAAAGTTACAGCTGGACCCAGAGGGATTGATTGGTTTTCCGTTGTGATCTCAGTAACTCAGAGATCAGAACAACCTGTGTCTTTTACCTTACAGGAGGTGGATTTAGCCTCATTCAAACAGACAAGCTTTGGCAGGGATTGGACAGTCAGGTGCACAGAAACTAAAGTATTTTTACTCAAGTGCTGTACCTTATTCAGTATAGGCACATGCTTTTCATCTTTTTCATAGAGTTTTTGCATTTACTTCTTATTTTCTAAAGATACAAGTGAAACGCAGACAAATATATTGTTAAAGATTATGGCTTACAGTCAATTTAAAAAAAATCTTGTGTATTATTTGGGGTTTTTACAAGCTGGAGGCCAAGTATCAACATTCTGAGTCATATACTAGTCTTACATTGTAAATTGAACAACAGAAGCACTTTTACTTTTGGACGATATTCTACATTTTCAAGTTTCACCTGAACGTCAGTGCGTTTTACTCCTCTCATGTTTGAAATAGCTTCGTTACCCTTGTCACACTGCCGGTAATGGAACAGCTGAATCTTTTGTCAGCCAAAAGACTAAATATGTGCATTAAACACCTGCAAATGTGGATTATCAAAATCAAAGATGTATTATTCAGAGTTAAATCCAACATTTTGGGAAAAAATTAGGACCAATATTAAAATCGAAACTCATTTTACATGTATTCCCGCTGGAGGTTTTGGCTTTTTTACAGCCGGTCATAAAATCTCATCTTCAGTAATATTTTTTATATTCTGCAATCGAATAAATCCAATCCCCAGAAAACAGTTGTTCTTTATATAGTAGTTCTTTCTCTGTTCCCACTTATGATTAGAGTTTGTAGTTGTTATGGAGAAAATAAGTCAGTGTGATGTCTTTATGTTAGCTCATGTTTATGTGTGGAAATGCAAATGACTATTCACGATGACATTTTCTAGAATTGGGTGAAAATGTTGTTTTTGCTTGTTAACTTCTGCTCATGTAAGGCAATTCAGGACTTCAGAATATCAATATTTCTTCACTTCTAAGTCCCAGCACTGATTACAGTAATATTTCAATGTTCAGCTTATTTTGAAATGTGTTACGACGGACGCGTTCAGCCAAAGAACAGTTATCTGGTGCCCTCTGGCGGCCAAACAGTAGTAGTACTAGTAGCGATAGTATTAGTGCAGGAGCTATAGAAGCAAACTACATAATACTAAACTAAAGAAATTCGCAGAAGTGAAGAGACTCATATTAAAAAACCAGTCTGTGAGAGGAACTATATAAAAAACATATTACTTACTTCATGCCTTTGAGTTCATTCGAGTCATTAGTTCATACCAACATTACAGCTCATGTTATGGTATATTCTGTCCTGGTCAGAAACAGACGAGAGGGAATGGACATGTCAAAGTCTATCCAAACCATAGACTGTAACACATTTTAGGTAGAGCAAACTGAAATCACAAGGCAACCGCCGTAATCAAGTCAAGTCCAAACTTCAAGTAGGAAAATGAGGTTAAAGGTGAACTGTGCATTATGACACATGTTTTTCAAAGCCAAGTCAGGGAAACCAGTCGCAAGCTGTAGTCACTGTAGTGCAGCAGGCGAGGACCCATCTGCAGACTTCTGAAGCTAAACAGGGCAGGGAATGGTTCGTAGAGCGATGGGAGACCTTTGGGAAGACCAGGTGCCACAGTGGGGGCGGCTGCAGCTGTAAAGTGCCAAACTACAATGTCCTTAAGCAAGACACTTCACCCACAGTGCAGAATGAGTCTTGTGTGTGTGTGTATGAATGCAGGCTAGTGTTTGTTTATCTCCACTGTGTATGGAGGGAACAAATACTGACATGTGAAGCATCTGATTGTCCAAAAAAGTGGTATATAATCATTCATTCATTTTCTACCACTTTTTGTCAATTTCTGCATTGGGGAGCTGGCAATGAGAGCTGTCACCCAATGCTCATAGCACCAGCCCCTCGCTGATCCTCTGCAGGAAGATACTATATTTATACTATATTTAATCCCAATGTATTATTATTCAACAACTGCTCCAACAATCTAACATCATGTTAATGTATTGTTATTTTTTTATATTATTATGTCTTACCTCTCTTTCTGACTGTTGCACTGAGCCAAAGCAATATCCAAGTCTGTGACTTCCTGTTCCTTCCGTGGCAATAAAAATGATTCTGATTCTCCATTGAACTCCTTATGGTTCAATTCTAGTTTTCTTATGAATTATTCCCCGATTTTCAATACTTTTGACAACCTAGTCAGGACTATACATATTCCAAACATATTCTGCCGCATTTGGCCACTGCATTTGTGAAAGTTCCCTCACTAGAATAAGGGAAAAAGAAGTCAGAAGACGTTTGAAAAACATATATATTGTCAAGAGAAAGTCATATCATGATGGAATGCAGAAAGTATAGTTGGTATGCAATGTAAACCTTATGTTATTTTCTAAATCCAATCGATCAAAAGCAGTTACCAGAAGTACAAACGTATGCATTTTATCCGACATATAGTTAAGTCCTGCCCACTTTTCTTACAGATGTAAACTCTCCACTACTTTCTTTGAATCATCTTGCCACAAAAACTGGACAATCAAACTTTACTTTTGTTTTAACCAGAAAGGTGATGAAAATAAATAAATTGAAAACCACTTCCTGGACTTCAAGATGACAGTCTTTTCCACTCCTTTATACACATACAGCAGCAGTTTGGGCAGTGTTGTCAAAAATGATTTGACCGACGTGTTCAGAATTTGGTACAGAAATAAGGCCAAGATTTCAAGAGTTCCAATAGTACATTTATTTCTCTTTACAATTAAATGTTGATACAGAACTCCTGGAGCTACTCCCTAAATCTCTATCCCTGTGCTCTAACTCGCCACAATGTGTCCTCCCAACGGTTTTATCAGAATCTCCGATGACGTCATATGGTCTGAGGCTGGTCCCAGTCTGGTTTTGTGCTAGAGACACGCTGTTCCTGAAAATGAAACTTTTATCACAGAAGCCTTTGTCCTTGGTGCTTGTCTGAATTCTATTAAATCCAGGCTTTAATATTGCACAAAGACAAACACCTGCTGGAAATCATTAGTATACAACATTATAATTCTACAACAGCAGTGAGCAGGTTCAATTCCAAAGAGTGAGGAACAACTTGCGCAGAACACAGTCATTCTTTACCTAAATAGACAAAAATCGTCCACGAGAGGAATAAGGCAGTGGTGATTATCAAGAGCTGGTTTTGTTTATGCTAAAACACTCCGGGAATGAGGCGATAGGAAACCGCATCCGTGTATTTCTTCCAGTCTTTTCCGTATTTACTGCTGCAGCGATGCTCGTCCCTCACGCAGCGGTGCACCAGCAGAATTGTCATGTACACAATGTAAAAATACGGATGCAGGTGCCCGAATCCGCAGGCCGCGCAGTAGGCCAGCGACCCCATCAAGTCCCCTGTGTAGTTCAAATGCCGGGCCACCCCCCAGAATCCCGAGGTGAGGAGTTTGCTTTTGTGGATCTCTCCGTCGGATGATTTGTAGGAACACTCGATGTAACTGGGTTTGTTACCCCAGATGGAGCACTGTCCCTCGGTGCGGCGGAACAGGTCCTTTTGGTGGTTGGTGGAGCGGAAGATGTAGTAACCAGCCAGGCCCAGCAGCAGCACGGACAGAGCGTGGAGCTGGGAGAGCTGCACGGGGTGGTAGACCAGATACAAGCCCTGGAAAGAAGATTAAGATTAAGGTTAAGACATCCTTTATTCATCCGACAGTGGGGAAATGTCAGTGTTGCTCCACCAGTTACTAACAGTGGGAATGAGGAGCACACAAGATAAAATAACATATATTCTATGCAAAAAATACAATCAAATCTAACTTAAACATGATGAAGAAGCAAGTATAAACTCTAACCCTAACTATAATTTCTAGTGCAAGAAGAATATAATTGTTTGTATGCAACTTTAATCAAAAAAAGGGGGGAAAAAAAAACATTTAAATGAAAAATAATACAATTTGAAAAAGAGTAAGTAGAAGTAAAACTGATTTACCTGCAGCGTGTAAAGATATGGCAGCCAGACACAGTCGCCCCATCCCAGATACCATCCAAAGTGATCGTGGCAGATATCGATGGTCTTCAAGTACCACGCCTCGTTCCAGAAGAAATCCAACACATAAATCGCCTTAGGAAGACAAAATAAGTTATAGCACAATGTCATGATAAATTACCAACAATTTTGATATTGGGCATGGTTTCCAGTTCAGCCTTATTTATCTGTCCAGTCATTTATAACGGCCTACCTGTAAAACATTGACCAGGATCATGGAGTTTGTGACGTGTCCGTAGAGCTCCTGCTGCTTGGCCATGTACGACAGGTTTATGAGAGTCCAGGCCACGATTCCCGGTCGGCCGTTGAAAAACAGCTTGAAGTCAAACCACTTCCCAATGCGAGGGTTAAACTCAATACCCATCATGTAGTTGTAGAAAACATTCCCTGTAAACTTGCTATAAAAGGGCACAAGAGAGAATATACAGAAATCAATCATTTTAAGTACGTAATGACATGTTTTTGTTTTGTGGAATCATGAGGGACGTTGTGCTTCTGGTTATTTAGTATTGTAAATCAGAAAGCTATCAACTCAATTCAACTCAAATCAATTCAAAAACCAGTATTGAAACTAGATATTATTCAGAGGAAAAATACAGTGGGAAAAAATACCTTAGGAAATATTGACCTACATAAGCATTTATTGTAGTTTAAAAAGTGATACTGAAATATAAAAATAGATAATAAAAATGCTTCTTTATATTATATACAATATATTTATTGCCCCAAAGGGAAAACTATCAGTGTGGCATCAGCATTGGTATAGCTCAGTGTTGACATTGTTTTATGGCCATGACACTAGTCCCCATTAGAACCCCAAAGAAACTCATCATAAGCACTTAATGCACACTAGGACAGCTAATATCAGGGGTGGGAAATGGCAAAAATGTGACAATTCAATAGTATTGCAATATTTGTGCCACAATTCATTTTTATTACAATTCTGAAAATATTGCAATTCAGCAGCTCTTCTGCAATATATTGTGATTCATTTCCTAAAAAATGTAGGAAAATAAGACTGCTCAACACAAACGCTATATTATTTTAAGCTACCAGAGTAAACTCAGAGATAACATGATTATTTAATTAACTATTGCAAATTATTTCTCTACAGTATCAATTTAATTGTGGGCACAAAATATTGTAATACTGAACATCACTACAAATACCACAGTTATCCACATTTGAAGCCTCACCAGTCCTCTGCATTGGTGGGGAACAGGTAGGCCTTGATGAAAGCGAAGGTGGACACGGCGTAGCCCAGTATGTTGGTGCACCACAGCAGGGGGATCCAGTTGTCGATGATGATGGTGGGAGAAAACCAGTGGAAGTAGTGTGCGTTGGCAACCCACAGGACGTGAGTGATGAGCCAGCACTGCAGGCCGTTTATCTCATACTTGTTTATGAGGCCTGAAACAGATTCAAAAGTAGATTGGCCTCCGCTCAAAGATCCAAATAGTGACTTACAGGGCTCACAAGTATGCAAAGGAGTTTGTGATGGTTTTAATACTGTATATATTGTAAGGCGCAATGAAATAAAATGAATTATCATCATCAAAAGATTACATGCCTATCTTCACCTTACATAGGCCGCTGTGTACTTTGTGACTAAAGCCATATCAATTGCCATAAAATATTCACCAGATTGTCTGACCGATATTATGGTAAAAGTTGCCAAAGTAATGGTTTCCATGGTGACTATTGTCATAGCAACGATTGCCACGGTGACGATTGACATGGCAATGGAAACCATTGAGTTGGCTGACATAGCAACGGAAACCATGCCTTAGCAAAGGTTGCCATGGTGAGTAGTGCCATAGCAACGGTTGCCATTGTGAGTATTGCCATAGCAACGGTTGTCATGGTGAGTATTGCCATAGCAACGGTTGCCGGGGGGACTATTACCATAGCAACAGTTGCCACGGTGACTATTACCATAGCAACGGTTGCCTAGTGACCATTACCATAGCAATGGTTACCATGATGACTATTACCATAGCAACAGTTGCCATTGTGACTAGTGCCATAGCAACGGTTGCCATTGTGACTATTGCCATGGCAACGGCATTGCCATAGCAACAGTTGCCTAGGTGACTATTGCTATAGCAACGCTTGCTATACCAACGGTTGCAATAGTCACAGCGGTTGCAACAGTCACCGCAACGGTCATGGCAATGGTTGCCATGGTGACTATTGCCATAGCAATGGTTGCAAGTCACCACAACGGTCATGGCAACAGTTGCCATGGGGACAATTGCCATAGCAACGGTTTCAATGGTAACTATTGCCATAGCAACAGTTGCCTAGGTGACTATTGCTATAGCGGTTGCAATAGTCATCATGGCAACCGTTGCTCTTCCAATAGCCACCATGGTAACCACTTTTGAAACTGTGACCCTGGCAACCACCACTAGAACAATTAGAATGGTTGCCATAGTGACTAATGCCATAGCAACAGTTGCCATAGTGACCATTGCCATGGCAACCATCAAGATGGCAATTGTTTGTAATGGTCATGGTAACAATTGTGATGGTGATTGTTCTAATAGTGATGGTTGTCATGATAACAGTGATGGTTGGCTAAAACAAGATTCACTGATCGTTTTTCTAAATGGTGTTCAAAATAACTCTTCATAAGACTATATTACCTGCAGGTGTCCGAGCTCCGTCCTGGACCCCTCCAACATACCCAGGAATGACCATATGGAGAACATCTGGGATACACATATACAAGAACACCTGTGCAAGATACAACCAGTTACTTTCCAAGATCAAATTTAACCAGTGCACTATGAACACTTCTAACACTGTACCTGGAAAGACACCCAGATGGCGTATATTTTGGCTGCGGACCAGGTGAAGGAGGCCGAGCGCTCAAAGACGGATCCCAGCGTGGCCTCTCCGCTCACCAGGTCCAGAAAGGGCTCCATCACAGAGCACTGGTACTGGTCGCACGCCATTATAAAGTAGAAGACGATGAATGGGGCGAAGCAGAGCAGACTGATGACCCCCAGCAAAGAGAACCAGTCCACCTCCCTGCAGCATACACAACAATAGCATTTACAGTTATCCATAATGTTATTGCACCTCTACATCTAGGGATATTACAAGCCCATGGATGACTGCTGTTCTCCAGAAATCATTGGGCCACAGCCACCATCGTCATACACAAAGGCACAAATATTAGATTTTTTAAACATTAACCCAAAGGTCCAGGGTAATAGCATCTTTCATTATGGGCCATAATGGGCTAAGTGGGCCAGACTTTTTTTTATTTCTAACCATATTACAACATTGTCCCCTTATCAAATACAGACCTTGCTTTAAGATCCATCCACAAAAGCATCAGCAACATCTGCACAACATGTAACTCTAGCAATTTGGACAATATTACTCTGAAGTCCAGTTTACAAGATTAGAAATAAATAGAATATTCCAAGGTTGTTTTGCGAGTTTGATTTTTTTTATACTTTTATTATTAAAAAGTAACTGGTTAGATGGATCTATTTTAGGCCAAATCAAATTAGCTGGTACGTATGTGATTTCTGTTCATATTGGGTATCGGCATGTACTTAGAGCCAAAGTATAAAAATGGAATCGCAACTGAAAGAACAGACACATCCCTAGCTTCAGCTCAAAATGTAAATATTGCATCATTATTATTATTACTATCTATAGTCGTGGTTAAGCCCTGGTCTCCATTGTATGTTTTCTTTGACAACTACAACACCACACTCTACACCACTTCCCAACCTTTGCCATCTCTATACAAAACAGATAAGGTTTTAGATAAGAAATGACACAATAACCACCACGGCAATATCTTATCTAAACACAATGTTAATACATTATAAATAATGTGTTTTATTTGAATAATGTGAACAAACCATGCACGGCCCCACTGCCCAGGCTCCTCCGCTGTCCCCGAGGATTTCCCATTGGTGCTGGGGTGTGCGCGCCTCCTGGTCTCTGTGCCGTTCATCTCTAGACCAGAATAAACATAAACACATCTTTTATACAGCTGGACATTACACTTTGAACTGATAAATCACACTTAGTCGCTTTAAAGTCTACTAATGCAAATGCGTCCAGTTTAAAAGACATGGCAGTGAATTAGCATGGATATGAGGTTGATTTTTGGGTTTTGTGAATGATCGAGGAGATGAGGTTAGAAGGGAATAGTGCATTGTCCTGAAAATGAACGATAAACGGTTGATAACAGACTTTAAAGACACATTCCACAGACCAAAAACGCTGAAACTAAACCAAAAAGTCAGGAGTGTTCTTGAATTAGCCATGCAACAGGTTAAATGATTATGTTATTGGTACACTGAAAATCTGAACTTGTCATGTATTGACGTATGATTGTATAAGTTAAAACATGTATTGCATGGTATCAAGGTCTGTATAGTCCAGTTTTGCTTATGTTTTTTAAATTATGACCACCAGAATTTAATACATAGCACTGTTTTGATTGTTACAGCCCAAACCTTAAAACTGGGTTGTCCTTTTCAAATCACTAAAAACATACCTATGCAATAAAAACATATCACAAATTTGGATCCATCACTGGTTTTCACATGCATGTAACTTTTGGCCTCAGTCATATCTTTAGATCAGCTTTTTACAGACAGAAAAGCCAATCAGCCAATCAGCTCCCAGCCCATTATGTTAAATAGTGACTCACACAGGGGTCTTTCTGAAAACGTTGCCAAAGATTAAATGTTGTATCCAAAAATATATGCAGCATGTCATGGTCTAACATTACATTACATTACTCTTGGGACTCTATAGGGACAATATTCGTCTCCTATTTGACCAACTTCTACAATATTAAATGTAATTGAGGAGAAGTTAGGTACCCCTGCTTTAACCATGCGCTCTGCAATGTCAGGCTGTTACTTTTTCCTCATTACGCAATTGATGCCAAAGTAAAAACCAGATTGAAAGTTAAGAAGAGAAAGCCATCGAAAAACACTGAAGCCTATTTCAAAGTCTGCTCTGATATGAGATGTCCAATTTCAAATGAATGCACAACTCTTTAAATGAATGCACAACGCGAATACAGCAGCCAGATGTGCAGATCAACGCGCAATTACGCATCAAAACGTGCATCAGTCTATGGTCGCCACAGAACTGTAAATACAACTTGATGACCAATGTGGTGACTGCAGGACATACTCACCGCTCACAGATGACACCGAGAAGCAAAGACGCGCTTTTGTCTCTGCCTTCCTTCTTCCTTTGATCCAGGGGGAGCTCACGTAACACCGCTCAATGGTTTGGTGGAGAGGCCAAGCCCATAGCGCGACGACGCACCGAGAATCAGCCAACGGGATCCGGGCGGAGGCGGGCGGGGAGAGTGTGTCCGCGGTGGGATTGGAGGACGCAGACTGGAGCGATCCACAGCTCTCCAGTGTGCGCTGTTACACAAGGTAAGCAGGAGGGACGCGATTGTTATGTGAGGTTTTAACCCTTGTGCTGCCCTGGTGTCAAAACGACCCACCACCGTAAGTCAAAGTAGAATATACCCTACATTAGCGTCAAACTTCAAGATTCAAGAATGTATTTTCCATTTGCAGTAAAACCACATTGGATAAACTGTGCAAGACTATACCCCAGTGTGCATCAGTCTAATAGACCCAGGAATGGTCAAGTTACAAAAAGTCAATAAAAATTCAGCAAGATTTTTAGTTTTAATTTACGGTATAGCTTTTAATCACTGCGGCGGGTCAATTTGACCGGATGACAGCACAAGGGAAGATGTGGAGGGAATAAAGGAGGATTGTTCTTCATGCTGCAATGTTCTTTGCAGCATGTCTGTCCAGTTCACAGTATTAATCTTAATCTTGTTAGATCTAAGTGCTGCCTTTGACACCGTCGACCATGAGATCCTCTTACAGAGACTAGAGGACTGGGTTGGCGTCACTGGCACCGCCCTAAGTTGGTTTAGGTCTTACCTTGAAGACAGGAAGTACTTTGTGGAGATTGGAAACTGTGTCTCAGATCATATGGCCCTGACCTGTGGAGTCCCACAGGGGTCGATCCTGGGACCTCTTCTGTTCAATCTCTACATGCTGCCGTTAGGTCAGTTAATACGCAGAAACAAAGTTTCCTATCATAACTATGCAGACGACACTCAGATCTATGTCTCACTGACTGCAGGAGAACATGGACCAGTGGACTCACTCCTTCACTGTATCCAACAGATCAGTGAGTGGATGCAAAACAACTTCCTTCAGCTAAACGCAGACAAAACTGAAATGATTGTCTTTGGTCCCCAGAAACAAAGAGAGAGCGTCATCTGTCACCTACAGTCTCTCTCCCTAAAACCTTCAAACAAGGTCAGAAATCTAGGGGTAATACTGGACTCAGACTTAAATTTTAAAAGCCACATCAAATCAGTAACATCAGCAGCTTTTTACCATCTAAAAAACATTGCCAGGATCAAAAACATAGTGTCTAAAGCAGACTTGGAGATTCTTATCCATGCATTTGTCTCCAGTAGGTTAGACTACTGCAATGGCCTGCTCACAGGTCTGTCCAAACAGGCTGTAAAACAGCTGCAGTACATTCAAAATGCAGCAGCTCGAGTCCTGACAAGAACCAGGAAGTACGACCACATCAGTCCAGTCCTCAGGTCTCTGCACTGGCTTCCTGTGGCTCAGAGAATAGACTTTAAAACAGCTCTGCTTGTGTACAAGTCTCTCCATAGCCTCGCACCAAAATATATTAGTGACATGTTAGTCCCATATGAACCAGCCCGGACTCTGAGGAGCACAGGGACTGGACTCCTGTTAGTGCCCAGAGTCAGAACTAAACATGGGGAGGCTGCTTTTCAGATTAATGCTGCTAAAATCTGGAACAGTCTTCCTGAAGATGTGAGACAGGCCTCCTCTCTGACAATGTTTAAAACCAGGTTAAAGACGGTTCTGTTTAACTGTGCATACAACTGAGGGATTTTACATTTTTATCTTTCTTTTTAATGTTCTGTGATAATTTATGATTTTAATGCTTTCTTGTTTTGTTCAGCACTTTGAATTGCCTTGTGTATGAATTGTGCTATATAAATAAACTTGCCTTGCCTTGCCTTGCCTTAATTAAAGGGGGCTTTGTTTGTTGATCATGTTATTTTACAGTTTTTTTTCCCGTTTTACATCAATGATAGAATATCGAGGATTACTAATCCACAATATTAGTAATATATATCTCTGACCACCTGAGGGCGCTATATCTCTTTGATTAATGCATGCCCCTCATTTATGGATTGTCTGCGATCTGAAGAAAGCTCAATGTCATTGTCAACATGTTTTTAATCAATGGAAATGAATAAAATGGAAACTTAAAACAAAAGGAAACAAAACTACTTCATAATACTATAAATTAAGTTGCATTATAGGTTATTTTTCCTAAACTAACAAAAGTTCTTGCGTACAGTGCGTTATAAGGACAGAATACAAAGATGAAACTATAATTGCACATTGTTAGAACAGGTGAATACCATGTGCAGAGTCAGCAGTATTCGTTGTACAGTCTGACAGCATTAGTGTGATTATTATAGGTAACATTGTGCCCTTTACACATACTTTACAAATCTGTGAATAAGTGTTGTTGTTAAACATTGCAGTCCGGTGGGCTATAAAACCACAGTCATTTCAAATGTAATATAAGTAATATGTATATATTATGACTTAGTTCCTCAGGGCCAGGCGTGTTGCAATAAGAATACATTTTACTGAAATAATCCCAGAAACTCTTTTTTAAAGTGTCTTGTCCATCACTCAGGTTAGGGGACTGTTCATCCCTGATTTTCTGGAGAGTTTATCTTTAGACCTCCTTCTCAAACAGCTCAAAGTAAAAAAAAAAAAAGCCTATTTGATAATATAATATAATGCATTGGTTTTATATAGCGCTTTTTAGGACGTTTAAAGACGGTGGTGATGAACTACTAATGTAGCCACAGCTGCCCTGGGGCACACTGACAGAACCAAGGCCACCAGCAAGAGTTTTTGACACCACCCACCACACTCATTCAGCTCATCAGCTCTCAGCCGGAAGCATCAACTAGTGACTTTCAGGGCTCTATGCAAAAGACAAAGGGTTTTCTAATGTCGTGGTGATGTTTGGGTCTGATCTGTTCAAGAAAGGTTTACTTTAATAATTACTTTATGTGTCCCACAGTGGGGAAATTTCAGTGTTGCATCTCAAGTTACAGACAGAAGGAATGAGAAGCATCTAACTCTAGCATCAAAGGAAGCAGTATAGAATCTCTATCTTTAACATAATAAGGGAAGGAGTCTAATATCTCCAACTTTAGCTTGATAAAGAAGCAAGAATTAAAAGCCCAAATTTTTGGAAAGAACCGCCCTCTCCACTTTTTTTGAGCCACCTCAACTGGTTCCTCTCGACGTGGAGAAGCAGCGGCTCTACTCCGAGCTCCTCCCGTGTGACTGAACTCCTCACCCTATCTGTAAGGGAGCGCCCAGCCATTCTCCTATATACCTTTAAGTAACAAAATGACTTTAGCATAATAAGGAGCAAGTGTAAACACTGTATATTCAAGTTCAAGTAAGATATACCCCAGCTTTCACTTGAAATGGGAATACTGTTTTTATCTTGAGGCATAATAATTGACCAGACCTCGATTCATGGACTCTTCAAAGTGTGTGGGGTTTGTATGAGTTTGTTATTTTGACTTTTTTTGGTTCGGGTGATGTTTGATGTAAAGCTGCATTTCAAAACTCTGCCAGACTGCTTTTTTTCTTGTGTTCATCTAAATCCTGTTAAATTATAGGTCATATCTTTGAAGAGGCTATACAAGAATACATTGAATGAATGAATAAATTGAATTTCTTTTTGAGCTTTATGCGAGGCCACATTCAGGGCATGTCATAATATTTGTGATCAATATTGAAAGAGGCGGCGAGGTGCTGCTGGTGCTTCCTGACTGACACTTTCTCCTCTAATCATTTCCCCTGAGATGTCTTACATGTCTGCATGCATAACTAAAGCAGGACGGAACATTCACAACTCACTGCAACTGAATCAATGCATCGCAAAAGCATATCCCACATGGGTGATACAGGTAAGTCAAGATAGAAGGCTAGAATAGAATAAGAAATATATCTAATTACCATAAGCAAAATTCATAATCATTACTGAATACCTGTATGTGTAGTAGTAACCTGGCCTTAGCCATCTGTAAACTCCGATCAATTATAATTTCCTACATGTAAGGCCGCGGCTGATCCTAAGTGACCTCAGTTGAATCCCCTCAAACCAATCAGCGAGTGGGGCAGGCGAGTGTTTGTAGGTAGGTGCCGGTGACGGCCAGTGGGGAGGGTCCCAGCTCAAAAGTGGCCAAAAAGACGTGCGCTGACATGCTGCAATACCACCCCGGGCCGATGGGGCTGGACCCGGAATAAGAATTAGCCAATGCTAACATATAGCATTGGGCCAAAAGTTGGCTCTTGGCCCAAAGCTCTGTTCCACATGTGTGTCAATGCTGAGGGGAGTGAATTTTTTTGGACCAGTCTAGTTTACTTGCTGAATTTTTGAAGTCTCTCGTTCAAATGAATGGAGCTGCTCCGGCTGACGCATGCGCAGATGAGTTTTTTCACGATTTTCTTGTGGGTGGGACCACTCTCAGCCATTTTGGATAGCTCCAGTAGGGCAAATTTTTTGGCCCATTAGTTAGAACGGCGGAGATACAGTCTATGGTGACGGCAAGGGTTTGCACCAAATTTGCTGCTTGCAGTTTGGCAATGGCGGCGAATGTGATAGTAAAGTAATCTGTTCTGGTTCGGCTCCAAATATCAAGAAATTGATGTCAGAGCAAGAGGAATGTTTAGCAATGTCATTGCTGGCAAAGAGGAAGGAGATGGCTAAAGCTAGGCTAAATGCTAAATGCTAGCGACTCACAGGGGTGCATTACACACTACACGGTAAACTCAGATCCAATCGTTTCAATCTGCAAAAGGAGTTAACCCCTCCCATTTGTTAATTGAGCAAATATAGACCTTAGTACGAAATGAAGTTTGTACAATGGCGTGGTAAGACCAGGCTAGTATAGTAGTATTGTGAAAATAAACGTTTAAAAATCGTTAAAAGCATTATTTGTTTACATTAAAGTGATTGTCTGGAGTTTGTCAGAAAGAGAGACAGATAGGAACTTGATTTGAAAAAATTGACGCAAGCTCCCTCCCCCTTCCTTTCTGATTGGTCTACACCTACATTTCCGTAATACTTTTGAATGTTAATCAGAGAACACATTATAAATATACATTATTAATACACATGCACAGAGGTTTTCAGAATTATTTGTTAACGTTTTAATGAAAAAAATATGTTTTATGCAGAAAAAAAGCGATTGCGGCAAACCCGTAACAAGCTATTATCATGAACTGCACATTATAGGGCACAT